ATGACATTTTAGTAAAACCGAGTAGAATTTCTGGTTATATATCATAATCAGAAATTCTGTTTGTCCTCAAAATGTCATTCTTGTTAAGTTTTGTTGGTTTAATCGGAATATTTTTTTCATCGTATAAATACTAAAAGATTACTAATATTCGGGTTCAAAAAACCCTAGTTGTCTGATTTTGTGAACGAAGTTTACATTCTTATTCAATCCTTTTGTTAGTTTAATTAAACTTTTTTTTCACTATAAACTTCCTTTATAATTTTTATAATTGAATGCGAATTTAAGGATGTCACTTACTTTGGTCAAGTTTTGGGTAAATCTAACTTTGAGTTTACCTTGGTACCGGCGTGGTGGTTTTCGGCGACTCGGCGAGATGATTGATACTTGCGGGACTGAAACCAATTCCCACGGAAGATCTCGCGAGGTTGAAGCTACCCGTGCTTGTTTCGATATAGTATGACTTGCCGCTGCTCGCGTTGTCATAATTGTTATTATATTGAGTTGCCTTCTTAGGCGTTTTCGTGCTATCGTAGTATTGAGTGGAAGGCTTACTCGCTTGGCTCGTTTTATCATAATATTGGCTGTTTTCGTTGTTCCTTAAAGCGGTCTGTGCGACAGTATTGTCCACGTTTACGTATTTTTTCGTTGCTGGGCTGTAAGTTGTGGGTGCATAACTGTTGCTTGCGAAATTGTTGGCGTAATATTTGGCAGTAGTTTGAGGAATGTCCTGACTAGTGGACGTGGCTGGTCTGTACTGGACATTATTATTATTGTTGTTATTGTTGTAATTATGATTATAAGCGGTAGGTGCGGACGTGGTGGATTGGTACGCAACTGGTGCGCTGCTTCCTCGTTGAATGTTGTTGTAGTTCCTTTGTTGATAATTGGTGTAATCGCTTGTCTGATAATTTATGGTACTCGGTTGAACAGTGGTGGATTGTGCGAATTGATAAGTCTGATAGCTGGTTTTCGGATTGTAGCTGCTCGGTTTCAGAGTTGTGGCTTGAACGGAACTGCCAGTATTCTGTTGGGCGGAACTACCAGCATTCTGTTGATTGTAGTTTGAGTTGTAGACGTTGTAGAAGTTCGAATTGTAGGCGTTGTTCGAAGTTGTTCTGGCAGTCGTGCTGGGTGATTGATAGTTGTTGTATGTGTCCTGATATGTCGTGCTAGGTCGATACGTGGACGACGGTACGCTGTATCTTTGCGTGTTCTGATTCTTGTTGTAGTTCTCTTGAGATCGGACGGTCGTTGACGGGGCGTACGTCGTAGATCGTTGATTATACGCGTTGCTGTTGTAATAATTGCCGTTGTAGGTGTTCTGACTAGGCACGGCTGGTGCCGACGTGGTGGACGTTGGCGAATAGTTGCTACTACCATTGCCGGTGTACGGTTGCTTCCTACTGGCTTTTCGAATGCCGCCTTTCTTCTTGTTGTCTTGTTCCTCCTTATACAATTTATCTTCGTACTCGTCTTCCTTGTTGTTTCTGTTATACAAATTGCCGCTACTGCTACCTCGCAGTACCTCGCGATTGTTGTAGTTGGACGAAGATACTCGATTCACAGCGTTCGCGGAGGATCGAACCGCGTCGCTGCTTTCGCTGCGCTGAAGATGATCTTGAGGCTCGGCGTCACTGCGTAAGTTGTCGTAATGCACGGATTCCAGGCCGGAACCAATTCTATACAAGTCAAAGTTATCGCTGGCATAGTAGAGAGTCGCGGCCTCGCAATCCACGTCGTACCAATCGGCACAAGTTTGACTCTCTTGATCGAAGGCAGTATCGTTGGGGCAAAGGAACCTAAGTAAAAAATAATTAAATAATTCTGCGATTGGCTCTACATCTCGTAACCTTCAACGTTTTATTCAAAATGCATTTTCCTTAATGTATGACATATTAAATACTCATTGCTGGCGACAAAAAATTGAGAAGAATTTATTTTTACTTATCAAGATTGTATTATAATATAACACACTCACTTGTAATCCTGAATACTACCAGCCACAGAGACACAGACATGGAAGACTTGGCAGTCGGTCTCAGGATCCGCGTAATAGCTACCGACGATCTTGTTGCGACAGGAGAATGAGGTTTCCGGCATGTATTGCTGAGAATATCTCGGTGGTGGTCGGTGGAGACCTAGTACGCAGCTCCATAATATTCCCACTGAAATACATAGCATATTCCTAAATTTTATGGAACGAATATATAATTCGATAGTAAGATATATTTAAAAAATTTATCAAATGAAAAAAATTGCATTGTAATTTATAAAAAAAAAAGCTACAAGAATGGATTCGTCCGAATATCTATTTTTATTTATTATTATTTTATTGCGGGTATTTTTTAATATAATCGAACGTGTATTATACATATACACAAATTAGAATGGACGAATACATTAACAGAATGTGTTCTCGTATTGATATGCAGTCTGCAATTTTTCTATTTTATTCTAAAAATGAATTTCTTATGAAATCTATATATAAGAATATTCCTTTATAGTTATATAATTCTTTAAATTCTCGACCTCATTGATTCGTTGATTGGTATTCGTATTAAATGTTACAATTGTATGATTGTTTAAAGATTTGAACAGTAAACGCGTCTTTTTACAAGTAAAGATAAATAATGATGGATGTCGATGCACCTTCCTACTTAAGGGTATCTACATAAAAGTGTGGATATATTTGTACTGCATGTACGAAGATTGTTTCGATTGAAATCATTACCGATTTATGAACGCGCGAAATTTCAAATAAAAAATTATTTAAATTATCATTGAACAAAATCCTTCGAGGTATACCAAATTTTAAGTAGTTGGTTTTAAAATTAATTACTTTAACTTGACATATTTCAAAAGATTTTATTTAATAGATGTAATTTAAATAATATCTGATTCAAATTTTTTTGTTCATAGGGATCAATAATAATTAAAAATCTTTAATGAATATATTTGCAATTTATCACATTTTGATATTTATTTAAATGGATAGATATTAAATGTGGCAAATCGCAAGTTCATTCGAAGACTAATTCTTACGACGATTCTTATAATCCACTTTCAGCGATTAAATTCCACTCGTACTGTCGTATTACACGTACCCGAGATTAGAACGAGATATCGCCCCATGGACTCCATATTTTTCCTCGAGTCCTCTAGATACCCTTTTCTCCGGATTCACTCAGCTTTTCGGGCTTGGTTTCGCACTCCTACGCGTTACCTGCGCGATCAGACTCGCGGACGCGACTGCAGCAGCGTGGAGAACGTTCGTACCCGAGAAGAGAAGAGTCGCGATCGCGCGCGCGGAGAAGATGCCTTCTGGGAGGATGGGGCTCCGTCGGGTAAAGCTACGGGACGACGGGGAAGGGGTCCGAGCCCCATCGCGTACGCGAAGAAGAGAATGGTGAACAGGGGTCCGCCGCGGAACGTAACGTCTTTCTCGTTACGTCACTTGCGGCAACCGGGCTCGTTCGCCAAGCAGCCAACGGCGACGATGGCACGTATTATACGTGGGTATGCAGTATGCACATACCGTGCGCGGACTCCCGTGTAACTTACACGTTTTTACTAGCACGTAGGTAGGCGGCTGGGTGCCGGAGAAACCGCTGCACGCCGCGCGGGAAAGCGGGAGACATTATCGTCTCTTGAAGAAACTTCTCCCGCGCGCGGTGCATAATAACGCGTAGGCGCCCGTTATTGTGTCGCCTGTTCACGCACGGAAGAAGTTGCCCGGCGGAAAGCTTCTGTAGCTCGAGATTCTGTTCCCTTTTGGAAAATCAAGTCAAGGATAGGCATAGAAGGCGGATCGGCAAGCATTGCGCGGTAGTTATTAAATTCAACATTTCATGTCATTCGATTCTTACTTGTGATTACTTGGAAAATATCATTAGAAGATATACAGTAGCATAGAGATTAAGCGTTCGTGACACGAACGTTTTAATGACATCGAATCTTTAACTATTCCACTGCTCTGTCGTAACTGTTTTCGTAGATGATGAGTTTCAGTATCAGTCTCTATAGATGGAAGAAAGTTGCGTTTTGCATTGACTCGTGTGTGGAGGGTGTGGCGATAGACAACATCGCATGCGCCTTCAACAGAGATAAAAGAAAGAAGCCTGATGTCCGTCAGCGTCAATTATTCTAATAGAACTTCAACGTAGTTATATTTTGTGTGAAAGGATATTCGCGATTGCGCCACTGTATGGATAGTTCCTATCTATCACACATTTATTCACACGATTTGTGTTTTTAGAACTTAAGTCCCGTTAGACGATCTATTCTATATTTCAACATATATTTAATACACGAGCATATAATCTGACTTTTTAATATAATTTGTTACATTTTACATTACACTGTTAAATTTATAGTGTCAAATTTCAGTCGCCACTGCTCCTCAAATTGAGTGAAATTTAACTAACAAAGAGAAAACCAAGTGATGGTGGCGGAGATTTTGATGCGCTTTTTACAGATTGTTCTTGAACGAAAAAAAAAACGACGTGTTCAGTCGTTTCAACTATTGGCCCATAGTTTCGAAGAAATCAATTTTTTAAATAATTATTGTAATAATTTGATAAACATATTGTAAGGGAGACCGGGGACAAAAGTAACATTCTGACTTTGAAATGTTCTAATAGTTAAAATATAATATATTTACATTAAAAAGATATGTATCTTTAGAATGTAGAATTTATTTAGCTACAAAATTTTTGTATGTAACTTGTATGAAAAAAAGTTATGTTTGTTTAAAGATTATGAGGAATTTTGTTACGACCGTCCCAATCCTCGGGAACAATAGTAAACACTAATTATAACACTAGAAGGGGATAATTATATCACATTTGCTGAAGGTACATAACACAGCTACATAAGTCATACTCTCTCTTGCAGCTACACGAATGGATAACTGATCCTTCATAACTTCTTTAAATGTTTATTTGTATAAAGATACTTTTTTAATACAGTTTTTCTTTTATCTGTCTTGAGCTTTCTTGTTAATGGAATTGTAATATTATAACTGACTCCAAGCATTGATGTTACTATTGTCCCCTGATAATATTTTATGATTTATAGTAAATTTTTTAAATAAAAATATATAGATAAAAATCAACCCAAATGTGCAAACCAACGTAGATAATCATTAAAACATATTATGATAATATAATACATTAGATCTTCATTATAAAGAAAACAAAATTTTAGATTTTGTGCACGCAATCAAACTTACTTGAAGCATGAAAAAAATAATTTCTGCTCGTGCACGTTCCGCGAGAACAAGCATGTAACGAACGATTCAATGCCGATCTGTCCACAAAATTTTACCATGCAGCTGCATGCACATATCTATTATAGTTTAAGAAATATTAACGAAAATGTTACTATTATCCCTTGTTATTTTTGTTCCCGGTCTCCCCTATAGAAAAGTATCGGTATCTATAAATTTCATTTCAATTTAATGTTATTAATTTTAATTACTTTTTGATTGTAAGGAAATTTCATGAAATTATTGTACAAATTAATATTATAGATAATTAAGCACTCATTTATGAAATATTTATTATTATCATCATTATCATCGTTGTTGTTATTCACATGAACGCATAAATAAGATTGTAATGAAAACTGTTATAGTTTCTGATAAAATTAGAAATTGGAAATTGTGATTAGGAATAAGTAAGTCATATGTGTTTGTAATCTTCTTTTCATTAATATTTAATCGATTTGTTAATAATAATAGAAAACTAATTGTGTTTTGTAAACATATGTATATAAATCATAAAAACAAGAAAAATATAAATATTTATTGCATTGTGAACACCTTTCAAATGAATTTTTGTTGCAGATATAATAAATCTTAATAAAATTAATATTAATTCTCAATAAATAAAACTTTTTCTAATATCTGGAGGAAAGCAGATTTGATTAACATTATGGAAATATGTAGCTTCTTTCAGGAATCAATTTTGATGAGAATCAAGTATATTTTATCATCGATGCGAAAACTGGAGATGACAATTGATGATGAATTATTGAATAGTTTTTAATGGCATTCTCTCGCGTCGACAATTCTTTGCACAAATTAGTTTTCTATTATTATAACACAATTATTATTCTACAATTATTATTATACTGATTTATAAGATACTGATATTTTCCTACACAGTACATTTGTCAAATTATTACAATAATTTTATAAATCGATTTCTTCGAAACTATGTGTCAATGGCTGAAACGGCCGGATATCGTTTTTTTTCGCTCAAGAATAGCTTCTAAACAACGTATTAAAATCCCTGACACCGTCACCTGATTCTCGTTGTAAGTATAAATTTAACAGTGTACATGGCACAAAATTATGTCAAGAATTTTATTCTAAATTATAAATCATTTAAAGAGGGTTTCCAAGAAAAGAATCTTAAAGTTAACACTTTCCCATTTTCAGTAAATTAAATTATTGTTAAGTTGCGCTTTTTAATTTTTTTAATATTGATCTGTGGAAAATTAGTTTTAATGAATTTTACACATCTATGAAAAAATATTCAATAAAACTAAATGCCCATATTCAGCAGAAATCAGTGCTTAGTAAGCGCTTTACATCGATTGAATTATACTTGTAGATCGAGAGGAATAATCTTATCTCAGCGAAAGAAAAACTTTCAATGGTTATGAAAATAAATATTCTGGTAAACGCAACTATTGATTAATTTAATTTTAATAGAAGATTTTTTTTTAATTCTTCTTTTACTTTCTTACAGGTTTCATATATAAAGATATAAATATTTTGCTTCTGCATCGTGTTTCTTCTTTTCATGCTTTTAAATTAATCTTCGATAGGAGCGCTCTTTGAACGTCTTGTCTGTTAGCGTAAGTTCGGCGTGACCGGTCGTTAGGTGGCCTTTGCCAGCGCGAGATCGCGACTCATTGCACTCGTTGGAGGGTGCATCGAAGGAGTGCTCGGTTGCATTCCAGCAGTAATCCGAGGAATTACGGCGGACGGAACAGCGAGCATCTTGTTTAGAACGTTTAAATCGCCATAACCATAAACGGCCTCGCAGGTCGTTCTGCCATTCGATACTATGTACATTCTAGGGATGTTAGATATTTGAAATAGCTGAGCGAAATTTGCCGGATAATTGCGCGAAAATTGTACAGACTTAGAGAATTCTTCAGTGGCATTTAGATATCTTTGTCGAAACGTAGGACTTCTAGTATCTCGGAACTTCAAAGTTAAACTTTCTCAACACAGGTTTCTCTGATATTAGAGGTACATAATCCCGGACAGTTAGCAACTAATTAGAACGAATTGACTCACGTACAGGTAGAAATCGTTTGCGATCAGAGAGAAGGTTTCGTTGCAAGTGGAATTGTAGCACTTGATTCTTCGATGAGATAAGGTCACTTCCGTAGGTTGAAGCTAAGGTAAGATACGCCGCGTAGAACATGCAAAGGAGTTCTATCTACGAGCAAAAGAATCACGTGGCCCAATTCACTTGCCGCCGTCGCACGAAGATCGAGGTCGTACCTCGACAATTGAAATTTCGCAATTTAGCCTGTCTTGCATCTTGCAGCGCACTGTCGGTGTAATACGTTGTGTGAGTACGTGTGTATATGTATATATATATATATGAAAAAAAATTCACGATAGCTTTAGAATTTAAATCTAAAGAACATCGTGCAAAATTATCCTCGATCTCGCTGCATTTGTAGCGAAGAAATTAACATTTGCGTCTCATGATAGATGTCTATTTTTCGAACATTGATTTTAGTATATCAAATTTGGCGGTTTCTTTCGGTAAAACAGATTTGTAAAGATGATATTTCAATTTTTTTAGTCGCTACCCTGCTAAGACAATTTTTCTTAGAATTTTTTATATAATTTTTCAGAATTTCTGTATAATTTTATAACCTTTTAGAAAATTTCTCAGATTTTTTTACATAAATTAGAACACTTTTTAGAAGTATTAGAAGATCTAAATCTTTTAGAATTCTTCATACGTGAGTTCTGAAATGTTTTAAGATTTCTCATTCTATAATTTCTGAAGAAAACTTATAAATTCTGAAAAAGTTTAGGGTACTTTTTCAAAAATGTTCATAAATTTAAAATATTCAAATAGTAAAAGACAACAGACTCAAATAATTTATAAGGTTAACAATAAAACAAGGGCTACGAGTCAAGCTAGATCTTAATGCAGGATTAACTACAAAAACATAAGTTTATTAAAACAACCGTTTCGATCCCTATTGGGTCATTCTCAATGTTGAAATTGATACAATTTGAAATCAACGATTCATTTGAA